ATGCACTGGTTTCTCAGTGATCAGTGTAGTTTAGTATGCACTGGTTTCTCAGTGATCAGTGTAGTTTAGCACGCACTGGTTTCTCAGTGATCAGTATAGTTTAGCACACACTGGTTTCTCAGTGATCAGTGTAGTTTAGTATGTACTGGTTTCTCAGTGATCAGTGTAGTTTAGCACACACTGGTTTCTCAGTGATCAGTAGTTTAGCATGTACTGGTTTCTCAGTGATCAGTGTAGTTTAGTATGCACTGGTTTCTCAGTGATCAGTGTAGTTTAGTATGCACTGGTTTCTCAGTGATCAGTGAAGTTTAGCACACACTGGTTTTTCAGTGATCAGTAGTTTAGTATGTACTAGTTTCTCAGTGATCAGTGAAGTTTAGCATGCACTGGTGTGGTTTCTCAGTGATCAGTGTAGTTTAGCATGCACTGGTTTCTCAGTGATCAGTGAAGTTTAGCACTCACTGGTTTTTCAGTGATCAGTAGTTTAGTATGCACTGGTTTCTCAGTGATCAGTGAAGTTTAGCATGCACTGGTTTCTCAGTGATCATTGTAGTTTAGTATGCACTGGCTTCTCAGTGATCAGTGAAGTTTAGCACACACTAGTTTCTCAGTGATCAGTGTAGTTTACACACTGGTTTCTCAGTGATCAGTGTAGCACACACTGGTTTCTCAGTGATCAGTGTAGTTTAGCATGCACTGGTTTCTCAGTGATCAGTGAAGTTTAGCACTCACTGGTTTTTCAGTGATCAGTAGTTTAGTATGCACTGGTTTCTCAGTGATCAGTGAAGTTTAGCATGCACTGGTTTCTCAGTGATCATTGTAGTTTAGTATGCACTGGCTTCTCAGTGATCAGTGAAGTTTAGCACACACTAGTTTCTCAGTGATCAGTGTAGTTTACACACTGGTTTCTCAGTGATCAGTGTAGCACACACTGGTTTAGCATGCACTGGTTTCTCAGTGATCAGTAGCACACACTGGTTTCCCAGTGATCAGTGTAGTTTAGCATGCACTGGTTTCTCAGTGATCAGTGTAGTTTAGTATGCACTGGTTTCTCAATGATCAGTCAAGTTTAGCACACACTGGTGGTATCTCAGTGATCAGTAGCACACACTGGTTTCTCAGTGATCAGTGTAGTTTAGCATGCACTGGTTTCTCAGTGATCAGTATTACACACTGGTTTCTCAGTGATCAGTGTAGTTTAGCATGCACTGGTTTCTCAGTGATCAGTATTACACACTGGTTTCTCAGTGATCAGTGTAGTTTAGCATGCACTGGTTTCTCAGTGATCAGTAGCACACACTCGTTTCTCAGTGATCAGTGTAGTTTATATGCACTGGTGGTTTCTCAGTGATCAGTGCAGTTTAGCACACACTGGTTTCTCAGTGATCAGTGTAGTTTAGCACACACTGGTTTCTCAGTGATCAGTGTAGTTTAGCACACACTGGTTTCTCAGTGATCAGTGTAGTTTAGTATGTACTGGTTTCTCAGTGATCAGTGTAGTTTAGCACACACTGGTTTCTCAGTGATCAGTGTAGTTTAGTATGCATTGGTTTCTCAGTGATCAGTGTAGTTTAGCACACACTGGTGGTATCTCAGTGATCAGTAGCACACACTGGTTTCTCAGTGATCAGTGAAGTTTAGCATGCACTGGTGTGGTTTCTCAGTGATCAGTGTAGTTTAGTATGCACTGGTTTCTCAGTGATCAGTGTAATTTAGTATGCACTGGTTTCTCAGTGATCAGTGAAGTTTAGCACTCACTGGTTTTTCAGTGATCGATAGTTTAGTATGCACTGGTTTCTCAGTGATCAGTGTAGTTTAGTATGTACTGGTTTCTCAGTGATCAGTGTAGTTTAGCATGCACTGGTTTCTCAGTGATCAGTTATTTAGTATGCACTGGTTTCTCAGTGATCAGTGTAGTTTAGCATGCACTGGTTTCTCAGTGATCAGTAGTTTAGTATGCACTGGTTTCTCAGTGATCGGTGTAGTTTAGTATGTACTGGTTTCTCAGTGATCAGTGTAGTGGTGTAGCATGCACTGGTTTCTCAGTGATTAGCAGTTTAGTATGCACTGGTTTCTCAGTGATCAGTGTAGTTTAGCATGCACTGGTTTCTCAGTGATCAGTGAAGTTTAGCACTCACTGGTTTCTCAGTGATCAGTAGTTTAGTATGCACTGGTTTCTCAGTGATCAGTGTAGTTTAGTATGCACTGGTTTCTCAGTGATCAGTGAAGTTTAGCACACACTAGTTTCTCAGTGATCAATGTAGTTTACACACTGGTTTCTCAGTGATCAGTGTAGCACACACTGGTTTAGCATGCACTGGTTTCTCAGTGATCAGTAGCACACACTGGTTTCCCAGTGACCAGTATAGTTTAGCATGCACAGGTTTCTCAGTGATCAGTGTAGTTTAGTATGCACTGGTTTCTCAGTGATCAGTGAAGTTTAGCACACACTGGTGGTATCTCAGTGATCAGTAGCACACACTGGTTTGTCAGTGATCAGTAGTTTAGTATGCACTGGTTTCTCAGTGATCAGTGTAGTTTAGTATGTACTGGTTTCTCAGTGATCAATGAAGTTTAGCACACACTGGTGTTTCAGTGATCAGTAGTTTAGAATGTACTGGTTTCTCAGTGATCAGTGTAGTTTAGCACACACTGGTTTCTCAGTGATCAGTGTAGTTTAGTATGCACTGGTTTCTCAGTGATCAGTGTAGTTTAGTATGCACTGGTTTCTCAGTGATCAGTGAAGTTTAGCACACACTGGTTTTTCAGTGATCAGTAGTTTAGTATGTACTGGTTTCTCAGTGATCAGTGAAGTTTAGCATGCACTGGTGTGGTTTCTCAGTGATCAGTGAAGTTTAGCACACACTGGTGGTATCTCAGTGATCAGTAGCACACACTGGTTTCTCAGTGATCAGTGTAGTTTAGCATGCACTGGTTTCTCAGTGATCAGTGAAGTTTAGCACTCACTGGTTTTTCAGTGATCAGTGTAGTTTAGCATGCACTGGTTTCTCAGTGATCAGTGAAGTTTAGCACTCACTGGTTTCTCAGTGATCAGTGTAGTTTAGTATGTACTGGTTTCTCAGTGATCAGTGTAGTTTAGCATGCACTGGTTTCTCAGTGATCAGTAGTTTAGTATGCACTGGTTTCTCAGTGATCAGTGTAGATTAGCATGCACTGGTTTTTCAGTGATCAGTGTAGTTTAGTATGCACTGGTTTCTCAGTGATCAGTAGTTTAGTATGCACTGGTTTCTCAGTGATCAGTGTAGTTTAGTATGTACTGGTTTCTCAGTGATCAGTGTAGTTTAGCATGCACTGGTTTCTCAGTGATCAGTAGTTTAGTATGTACTGGTTTCTCAGTGATCAGTGTAGTTTAGCATGCACTGGTTTCTCAGTGATCAGTAGTTTAGTATGCACTGGTTTCTCAGTGATCAGTGTAGATTAGCATGCACTGGTTTCTCAGTGATCAGTGTAGTTTAGTATGTACTGGTTTCTCAGTGATCAGTGTAGTTTAGCATGCACTGGTTTCTCAGTGATCAGTAGTTTAGTATGTACTGGTTTCTCAGTGATCAGTGTAGATTAGCATGCACTGGTTTTTCAGTGATCAGTAGTTTAGTATGCACTGGTTTCTCAGTGATCAGTGTAGTTTAGTATGTACTGGTTTTTCAGTGATCAGTAGTTTAGTATGCACTGGTTTCTCAGTGATCAGTGTAGTTTAGTATGTACTGGTTTCTCAGTGATCAGTGAAGTTTAGCATGCACTGGTTTCTCAGTGATCAGTGAAGTTTAGCACACACTAGTTTCTCAGTGATCAGTGTAGCACACACTGGTTTAGCATGCACTGGTTTCTCAGTGATCAGTAGCACACACTGGTTTCCCAGTGATCAGTGTAGTTTAGCATGCACTGGTTTCTCAGTGATCAGTGTAGTTTAGTATGCACTGGTTTCTCAGTGATCAGTAGCACACACTGGTTTCCCAGTGATCAGTGTAGTTTAGCATGCACTGGTTTCTCAGTGATCAGTGTAGTTTGGCATGCACTGGTTTCTCAGTGATCAGTATTACACACTGGTTTCTCAGTGATCAGTGTAGTTTAGCATGCACTGGTGGTTTCTCGGTGATCAGTGTAGTTTAGCATGCACTGGTTTCTCAGTGATCAGTGTAGTTTAGTATGTACTGGTTTCTCAGTGATCAGTGAAGTTTAGCATGCACTGGTTTCTCAGTGATCAGTGAAGTTTAGCACACACTAGTTTCTCAGTGATCAATGTAGTTTACACACCGGTTTCTCAGTGATCAGTGTAGCACACACTGGTTTAGCATGCACTGGTTTCTCAGTGATCAGTAGCACACACTGGTTTCCCAGTGATCAGTGTAGTTTAGCATGCACTGGTTTCTCAGTGATCAGTGTAGTTTAGCATGCACTGGTTTCTCAGTGATCAGTGAAGTTTAGCACTCACTGGTTTTTCAGTGATCAGTAGTTTAGTATGCACTGGTTTCTCAGTGATCAGTGTAGTTTAGTATGTACTGGTTTCTCAGTGATCAGTGTAGTTTAGCATGCACTGGTTTCTCAGTGATCAGTATTACACACTGGTTTCTCAGTGATCAGTGTAGTTTAGCATGCACTGGTGGTTTCTCGCGGTGATCAGTGTAGTTTAGCATGCACTCGTTTCTCAGTGATCAGTGTAGTTAGGCACACACTGGTGGTTTCTCGCAGTGATCAGTGTAGTTTAGTATGTACTGGTTTCTCAGTGATCAGTGTAGTTTAGCATGCACTGGTTTCTCAGTGATCAGTGCAGTTTAGCACACACTCAGGGGCGTAGAATTTAGTAGGGACGCTAGGGACGTTTCCCTACCAATATCCAGTGACACTGATATATCCCTAGCACTAATTTCGATCAAAACAAAAAAATATATTTATATATTGTTGTCCCCGTCCTGGTTTCTCAGTGATCAGTAGCACACACTGGTTTCTCAGTGATCAGTGCAGTTCAGAGTCATGTGAATGTTGAGGCGGCTCCGGCTCGGCTCGGCTCGGTCACTGGGGCTGATGTTCAGTCATCATGCGCTATTGCTGTGCGCCTCTGTTTGGAGGATCACATGAACTTTTGATTATTTATGATGTTTTACGATCACATATGGAGAAATGTCCCAGGAATTAAGGATCGTCTTTTGTCAACTTTCGCTTTTTCTGATCCGCGCTTTCAACAACACTTAACAGCGACTTCACTCAACTTCTCATGCTAACCGAAGCTAACTCAAATCAATGCCAGATTCCTCAGAATCATTATGTTCGTGATGGGATTTTTTACTTTATTCCACTTCAGTTTTACATTTTATTTTATTTTAACGACACTCGTGGATATATGAAGTTTTCATTTCCGGAAATCAGGGATTTTAATATGAATTCCTCAGTGGATTTATCGCTGAAGAAAGCGCTGAAAACTCCTCCGACACGACGAACTGCTGAGGTAAAAACACCCACAGAAATACCCTTCATTTTGCAGAGACGACTAAAAGAAACACTTTATAATGTCAACAACGCGCCAAATTATTATATATCAACACAAAATGAAAAGTTTATTGGTTTCGATTCAGGACTCATTCAGATCAAATAGGCTTGTTTTCAGTGTTTCATACTTTAAATATAAGTCTTAGTAACTTAGTTGTAGTTAATCGCTTGTTTTGAGTCTCTAAGTGATGTTTTTGTGTTCTTTATGAGGTTATGTGTTGTACATTGACAGATGTTCAACTAGTCCACAGACTGATTCCTCAGTGAAGTACAGTAGAATATTTGATTCATCAGCTCAAGTCATTTATTAATGACAGAAATCAATGAAAGATCACTGCATTCCAGCGGTGGAGCCGGGCTGTGTCTCAAATCCTAGTGAACTGACTGACTAGACCGTGTTTCTGGGCCTCACAGTATACAAACGTTTAGTCACCATAGTGGCAAAACCTTGTGATCTGCCAACTTTGACAGCATTATGGGCTAAAATCCTAATATATCTGTTGATCACTGTGTGCAGATGTCTGGAGGGAAGAAGTTTGTTATCTGTTTTTATGCTGGTATTGGCGGGCTAGACTGCATGACAGTGTTGCCATGACCTCTTTCTAGTGTGTGTGTGTGTGTTTGTACACTGTAGGGATGCACATCTGGATCTGAGCAGACTATTTCAGAGATTTTAAAGAGAAGACAACACTAGTTGTGCATTATTACTTGCATTTTCATTGATTAATGTTCTTCTGAGTAAATCTGGGTCGTGGTATTAAAAACCCGCCATAAGTTTTGACACCAGATATGTTGAATATCAGTTCAAAGTGCAAAGGTTGGCTTTATTGCAGGGCTCAACAATTATATTTTTTTGTTGTCATTTGGTCAGTAAGTCAGGGCAAGTTATTTTTGCAATTTAACCAATTCTCATCCGTGTTAACCAGCTAGATAACATGATTTTGATGACATCGGCAGGATTTGCAACAACAAGAACAATGACAAAAAACAAAGGTTTGCGTTTGCATGGGATAAAAAGCTATTATCAATGGCAACAGAAGTGCAAGTGACTGTGAGCTGGCCAAAAACTATGTCACATTGGTCCCGGGACAATTATTAAGCACTGTCTTGTAATGGTTTGATCAGGACACTTTCAAACCATCTTGGATAGTGTGAAATTAATGGGTTAATTCACACAAAAATGAAAATTATCCCATCATTTACTCACCCTCAAGCCATCCTAGGTGTGTAAGACTTTCTTCTTTCAGCCAAACACAATCAGAGTTATATTAGAAAACATCCAGCTTTATAATGGGAGTGAATGGGGGTGAGATTTAGAAGCCCGAAAAAGTGCATCCATCCATCATAACAGTAATCCAAACGAGTCCAAAGGGTTAATAAAGGCCTTCTGAAGCCGAACCATGTGTTTTAGTAGGAAAAATATCCATATTTATAACTTTATAAACCATAATCTCTGGCTTTCGTACGTGAGTATGCATCTGGCGGAAGAGTGACCTCTGACCTTGTTTGCATGGCATAAAAAGCAATTTTCAATAGCAACAAAAGTGCAAGCGCTGTAACTCGTGCTTCACTATCACAGTACGACATCGCTGAAGAATCCACTAGCTCGTCTCCACTGTTTCCCCAAACCATATTGTCGCAAATTGGTCGTTCAACCGCGCTGGTTAATGATGTCACGCAGGTGTTGGAGTAATAACTACTGTTAATGAATCTGTTAGAGATCGAGTTAATGCGAGATGTTTCGCTGTAAATTCAAAATCTGAGGAATATCTCTCATATTTCTCTGTTATTTCGCTTTATTTCCAGATTCAATCATAGACTCGTTCTCACACACTAGAGCTCGTTCACACACACTAGAGCTCGTTCACACACACTAGAGCTCGTTCTCACACACTAGAGCTCGTTCACACACACTAGAGCTCGTTCTCACACACTAGAGCTCGTTCACACACACTAGAGCTCGTTCTCACACACTAGAGCTCGTTCTCACACACTAGAGCTCGTTCTCACACACTAGAGCTCGTTCACACACACTAGAGCTCGTTCACACACACTAGAGCTCGTTCTCACACACTAGAGCTCGTTCACACACACTAGAGCTCGTTCACACACACTAGAGCTCGTTCACACACACTAGAGCTCGTTCACACACACTAGAGCTCGTTCTCACACACTAGAGCTCGTTCTCACACACTAGAGCTCGTTCTCACACACTAGAGCTCGTTCTCACACACTAGAGCTCGTTCTCACACACTAGAGCTCGTTCTCACACACTAGAGCTCGTTCTCACACACTAGAGCTCGTTCACACACACTAGAGCTCGTTCACACACACTAGAGCTCGTTCTCACACACTAGAGCTCGTTCACACACACTAGAGCTCGTTCTCACACACTAGAGCTCGTTCTCACACACTAGAGCTCGTTCTCACACACTAGAGCTCGTTCACACACACTAGAGCTCGTTCACACACACTAGAGCTCGTTCACACACACTAGAGCTCGTTCACACACACTAGAGCTCGTTCACACACACTAGAGCTCGTTCACACACACTAGAGCTCGTTCACACACACTAGAGCTCGTTCACACACACTAGAGCTCGTTCACACACACTAGAGCTCGTTCTCACACACTAGAGCTCGTTCACACACACTAGAGCTCGTTCTCACACACTAGAGCTCGTTCACACACACTAGAGCTCGTTCACACACACTAGAGCTCGTTCACACACACTAGAGCTCGTTCTCACACACTAGAGCTCGTTCTCACACACTAGAGCTCGTTCTCACACACTAGAGCTCGTTCACACACACTAGAGCTCGTTCACACACACTAGAGCTCGTTCACACACACTAGAGCTCGTTCACACACACTAGAGCTCGTTCACACACACTAGAGCTCGTTCTCACACACTAGAGCTCGTTCACACACACTAGAGCTCGTTCTCACACACTAGAGCTCGTTCACACACACTAGAGCTCGTTCACACACACTAGAGCTCGTTCACACACACTAGAGCTCGTTCACACACACTAGAGCTCGTTCACACACACTAGAGCTCGTTCACACACACTAGAGCTCGTTCACACACACACACACACACCCCAGGATGGGAAACGCTGCTGCAAGAGAATCTGTCTGGTTTAGAGCTGGTCATCTGTGGTTCACCGAGATCTTTTCTGCTGTTCTCTTCATCTCTTGTCCTCCTCCAGTTCAGTGTGTGTGTGTGTGTGTGTTGCTCCAGGCGTGGGCGTGTCCGGCTGCAGTAAAACACACAAACAAACACAAACTGCACCAGCTCTCACAGCAAGTTTCCAGATGGGTGTGTCGAGCGTTACGTAAGAGAGCAAAACAAATATTCCTCGTGTCTATTTCCATAACACTCTCCGCCCGCCTCGTGCCTCGAGCTGCTTTGCCTGATGGGAGTTTGATGATGCGGTGTTACGGTGGTTACGTCAGAAACACACACACTAATGCAGTCCTCAACATCCAGCAGCCGCTCGCACAAACACCCTCGATGTCAGGAGCGCCTCAGCGATACTTCCATCATAGTTATAATTATTGCTTGTGCAGATATTAAAAAACAAAAGAGGAACTGTGAAGTTACTTTGAGTGTTCTTTTGAACTAGTTTTTAAGTCTTTATATATATATCGCATGTGCAAAATGGTTTTTAATAATAACAACAACAACAAAAAAACTACTGAGCCTTAATAACCCTTAGCTAATTGCCGCCATATTACAAAACCAGCACATGACTTTCGCAATGTTTCTTTTGGGGGCTGTGAACCTAATAATTAAATATATGCTGCATCTTTTGTGTCACATTCTTACATTTAATCAATATATTCAATCAGAATGATAAGACACAAAAGGGCTGTTATCAATCAAATGAAATCAGTATCAAGACACAGAATCTGAAGTGGCGTTTATATGCGTTTACACACACTGTCTAATGCAGATCAGAGGCACATGAACGCATTTAACCTGGAGTTACACATGCAGGAATAATGTGCTGATGTTTTAAACATAAAACTGTCACGGGTTGGTTCAGAGAAGACAGACGAAGAACGTAGTAAACACTTTCTTTACTCGTAGAGACTCCAGATACATAGGAACAGGTGAGACAGCGTGTCAAACACGAACAATACCGGACAATGAACTGAATGCAGACAGGAACTTAAATACACAGTGATGATGATTACATAAACGACAGGCAGCTGTGAGGAAGGTGATAACGATGAAGACAAGCAGGTGTGTAGACAAGAGGGATGCTGGGAAGTGTAGTGAAGAGGCGGAGACAAGACAGACTGTGACATTACACCCCCCCTCCGGAAAGCGCGACCTCGCGCTGCAGAGGAACCAAGGCGGAGTAGATGGAGGGAGGAGCCAAGGCGGAGCAGATGGAGGGAGGAGCCAAGGCGGAGCAGATGGAGGAAGGAGCCAAGGCGGAGCAGATGGAGGGAGGAGCCAAGGCGGAGGCGGGGCTGATGACACCAGGGGGCCGACTGACAGGAGCGGAGCAGGTGAGAGAGGAGACCAGGGTGAAGCCGTAGAGCCGACGAGACAGGGTGACGCTGAGGGACTGGAGGGACATGGTGAGACCGTAGGCTCCGGCGACTGAAGGGTAGACAGGGACACAGAAGGACACGGTGGAGACAGAGGGAGTGAGGACCAAAGGGATACTGAGGGGAGTGAGGAGTCCAACAGAACCGGGGGGACGAAAGGACGAGGCGTAGCCAGAGGAGAGAAGTCCAAAGGTGAGGGAAGGCCGACGAGGGACCAAAGTGGATCCGGGGGGACGAGGGAGCCTGGCGGAACTGGGGGACTGAGGGGCCATGGTGGAGCTGAGGGAGGTAAGAGCCAAGGGGGAGCAGATGGGACGAAGGGCCGAGGTAGAGTCCTGGTAGAGGAGGTTGGAGGCGGAGGCCAGGGATCCACTGACCAGGCTGGATCAGCA